TTGATTTGGCATGTCTCAATAGCTCATAAATATTAAGTCCAAGAAACTTCTCTGGCTGGCATTGCTTAATTGTTCCTTGATGATACTTGTATTTAATTATTACGCTTTATCTGGTTCCGATGTTTACATGAAACGGACAAACAATGACTTTTCTCTGTTCAATGCGATGCCATTATCAACAACCCATTCATTAATCTGTGTAAATTCAGTCGCGGATGCAGCTAGTGTTGGTACTGTGGTAGCATTTACTAAGAGAGACGTATCATCTGCATACCTAACAAAGTTGTTGCTGTTGGGACCATTTACGTACATATACGCATATCTACCAGATCAAAAGCTTTGCTCAGGTTTGCAAATATTCCTACTGTTTTCTTATTTTTGTCCATAGCTGTATACAGCATGTTTAGAAAAGCAGAAATGGCTTTAGCTGTGGACATTCCCTTGAGAAAATCAAATTGGTAATAATAATAATAATAAATGGCCTTTATTTTACCTGGCGGGTTACATCAGCACAAGCTGTTTTTCAGAACCAACCAGGGCTGAAACAGTTATGTTTGATAAAGAAATCGGTCAGAAAAATGCCATCATACTTTTCTATAATATTTGCAGATACAATCAATAAGAAAATATGGAATCGTTTGTGGGTAGTAGAAGTGCGACACAAGGCACAGGGTATTGATAATGTATCTAAACGAAATTCAATGGGAAAGAATTTGGATGTCTTAAAAAAAAGCTTATATAAACTTATGTCCGAAACTACTCCATTGTCGAGGCACAAGGAGGTCAGAGTTTACTGTTCTGTTTTGGCCTTTTCGAAATAACCATGGTAGCCTTTTATTCGATTTTGTTGAGGTGTGATCGAAAACAGAATGAAAACGGTTGCATTGCCAGAAATTCCAATAAAAGCTATTAAAAAACACCTCAATATATTCAAGAATTGTTTATAGTACATATCACTGTTTTCCAGTTCCTCTTGGACAGTATGCCGGACACCATGGCCTCTAACTCCGGGAAGCTTGGCATTTCCATATTGCCGAAGTATTAGAAATGAATGCGTAAGAACTATTGGGGTAGGTTGGCGTCTGTTAAGAAATCAACACTGATACTCTCAAGAAGCCGTTAAAGCATTTCCATTACAGAACCCATACACAAAAATAAGATCGGCGCACCCATCACTGCTAAATTCCATTTCACAACATAAAAATGAAAAAAAGAAATTTTGACTAGACTTTCAGAAAAAAATACATTAGTATCGATATCAACCGTATAACACATAACTTTGACAAACTCTCCCAAAAAATTCGTTGGTACCAATGCCTCCTATTTTATTTTGACACTGCTCTTCATGAATGATCTAATTTTTATTTTTTATTTTTACGAAGACAGTGCACTATAGGAAAAAACAGAAAAGTAATTATTTGTAGCATTCGAAAAATTATGCGTTTAGAAAAAAAAACAGTGGCGTACTATTTTTATTTGGAAAAATAATGCTACTAATCCCCTATATCTTCGACACTGGTGCACGCTAATGTTAGGTTAATGAATGTGGACAATACTTAGGTAAATCCACATACCAAATTTTAGTTCATACCAGTTGACGGTTTTGAAGATACTAAAAAAATATTTCCTATTTTTAAACTTCCTCCCGTATCTTTTTAATGGAGGAAAACATGTTACATACAAGCAAAAGGCCCCCCTTAAAATGCGGTCCTGTGTATGATGTTTGATTTTTGATCACGACTTGTGAATCACCCTGTATAGTCAAGAGGCAGTGCATGTATCTTTGGATGGAACGTAAGTCAAATAAGCTATTATAATTAGCAATATTTATTATGAAGATGGAACGTTTGATAGGGAATAAGAAATTTAATCTACATGCATTTCATTACCTTCAAATGTTACGAGGTCTGTAAATAAGTGATGAGAATGGCAATATAGCGTTTGATCTAGCAACACTGGAGGCGCCGAGCTGAGAGGGGAGACAGGAGAACATGCGATCCGCCTTCACTACAAGTTTGAACTCGATCGAGTCATTTTGTTGTCCCTAGTGGTTGTTTTTGTGAAACACTTAGTTCTATTGTGTTCTAAAGATGACTGACAATTTAGAGCAACGGTGTGCTATCAGGTTTTGCTCCAGACTTATGCAAAGTGCCATGGACACTCTTGCTAAATTTCAGCAGACTTACGGAGACAGTGTTCTATCAGGAGCCCAAGTTTTTCGATGGCATTTTAAGAAGGGAGAGAGTCGATTGAAGATGAGCCACGAAGCGGAATCTTGTGCTTTCAGATCGTCGGTTGACAGTCTGATTGATTGAGAAGATTTAAATTTGACTCACACTACCGTTCATCAGACCAAGAACAACTGGGTGTTGCATCACGATACTGCTCCTTGTCACACAGCAATGTTAATAGAGTTTTTGGCCAGTAAAAACATCCTTGTTGCTCTTCGGCCTTCTTATTAGACTGACTGGAGTCCTTGTGACTTTTTTCTCTTCCCGAAGCTAAAGAATCAGCTCAAGTGAACTCGTTTTGGGACAGTCGAAAACATTCATACGGCTGTAAACGACCAGCTGAAGGCTACTCCAGTATCGGAGTTCCAGCACTGCAATGAGGAGTGGAAAACCTACAGCGCTGAGTGGCTTCAGAAGGTAGTTATTTTGAGGGTAATAATATAAAATTGTAGTTATATTTGAATAAATAAACAAATTAAAAGAAAATCAGTCTTATCACTTAATTTACAGACCTCGTATGTTATATCAGCGATAAATACAGTCAGTTGGAGTAACAGTTAAAACAACTTATGTGAGGCTTTCACAATGGCAATATAAATGACAAGGAAGTTGAAAGACCCTTAAAATTGCGATATTGTAAGATAAAAAATATAAAAAAATCGGATGTATGGTAATTAAATATGTCCCACTTTCGCAGAAATTCGTGAAGCGCCATATTCCCACACATCTCCTCACCGCAGGTACTTCCCTTTGTCCTGTATCAAATTTCGCCCAAGATACGTATAAAAAGTTATGATAAATGATACGGCTACACTGAAAAAAAAAATATTTGTGCATTAAAAGCTCAAAGTCTTACTTTGCCGCACGAAATATACGTTTCAGGGCGGTGCAAGTAGTTCGCGCTGGAATTGCACATTTTTCATCTCTTAAAAACTCGAGATATCACAAATATGGGCCGCAATGCCTTATGGAAAGTAACCCTCTTCTAGGTGAACAGTTGAGTAAGGTGTTTTAAATTTTTCGAGAGCGATTAGGAAATGAATAATATTCATTATGACTAGATCAATGTATTGCTAACTTTCTGAACTACCGGAAACGAGAGAGAACATCAGAACACGGCTTTAACAAAAAATCAACAGTTAACCAAGGAAGAAGAAAGTTACTTCTCACTAGAAGACTGTGGTCAAGATAATCGTGATTGCATAGCTCTATGGTGGTCATTATTATCCTCGCACATTAAGTCCTTCGGCGATATGCGTCCTTAGTGCCCGGCCAGTCATGGTATACTTCTCCACCAAGGTATTTAATGTACTATTTCGGATCAATGAAAAATGACATCAAGCAGGCTGACTCTGCACTTCCTATGTGACGAACAGGCTCATATATTTAGTCCATTGTCCTCTCAGATTTGACAATTTTGTCAGCTAGCCAACTGACCTACGGACGGAATCGACCACCCAACCATGTGGCAACCCATCACGGCGTTGCATATACGGATACACGCATCACCATTAAGTAACCCCAATATCCCTAAGCATTAGGAGCAGACAGACGTACTCTTGTCGAGTTGTCCGGCACACGTATATAGAAAATATTATCCAAGTTTTAAAGGCCAATGTACCACGAAATCTTTAATGTACAAAATATGTCTGAGGGTGGGTAGAATTACCGGGGTTGGAAAGGTACAAATTGCTAGCACCAAAAAAACTGACATATACTCTTCCCCACCCTCTACAACCCCCGACATATAATTCTTAACTCCTGAATTTTTTTAAATGATCATGAGCCTCTGAAACAACAAAAAGAGCGATTTTAATTTTTTCATTTTTGCTCTTTTTTCTCTACAGCTACTAGACCAATTTTCAAAAACTACCAAGCTTTCACGTCCTTGGCATATTAATAATCTTGTGTAACAGTTTCATCTGAATCTGAGCGATGCTTTTAGGTTATAGGCAGGCCAATGATTAGCGGATAGACAGACAATCCGACAGAAATGAGTGGCATGATTTTTCGCTATAGAATAATTCCAAGCCAGCCACGTAGGAAGTAAAAGTGCTGCAGTTTTCCTTAATTTATTTTCTTATCTATGATTTTGTCATCGAAGTCACTGTCCACGAGACAGTAAAAACGTTCCATTGAATACAGCTAAATTTAAAGCGAAAACAAGATTAGAGGAAGTTCTAGCTAAAATATTGACAGGATTGGGATTTGGAGGTTAGTTCTGCTCTTGGCAAAGGAAAAGGACTTTAGCTTGGCGCTGCAAAGGGCTGAAAATGGTGAAACATGGAAATACTAACAAACAATGGAAGTATGTATAATGAGAAAAAGTAAGAGTTTCATACACTATAGAACTTCTAGTAAAAATTCTGTTTAGTTGGAAGAACACCATTCTAGGAGCAATGAGCATGTTTTTTGAAACCGACTGACCAAAACTGCGTGTTATTGCTTGCTGTTGGGCACGCAATGTTAATTTTCTGATTGTGAGCTACGAAGTTACAGAAAGGTTCATTTCTTCCTGCTTTCGGATTAACAATGCAGCACTTCCAATTTTGTCAGAATGCTAGATATCGACAGGTTTGATAACAGTTTTGTTATTTTTTTAAGCTATGCATAGGATTTTTTTTTAGTGTACAACATCCCGATAAGGTCTACACGAGCATAATTTGTCACGGTGGAAACAAAGTGCAGCAGTGAGGTTAGGACAATAAACAGTTCATTAATTATTTATGTCGTCAGCGAATTGTACAATTTTAACTGTATTTTTTTCAGAGAATCGCTCGCTGAATGGTCGGTGGATGGATGACGGGCGGCTGTACGAATTCACACCTGTCGCAGGTCGCAGGCGAGCCATCGAGCTACGCCGGTTTCACACCGCATCCGTTTCCGTTTTAAGGTGCTGAGCAGCCACAGAGGCGTACCAGAAGGCCCTTGCTGTCTAAATCAATAAATTATAATAAACCTGCGTCACAATCTAACCTGGACTAAAATTCAAATTTGTTTTATTAGTTCCGAACATTATACATACATACAGAATGTTGATTTGAAAACTTCCCACCACGGATTAATCGAAAACCACTGATTAAAAGAAAAAAGATTTATCAGGGGGCTCAACTTTTTAACTAAAAACTACTTCACCCCCTTTCACCCTCGGTCCCTCAGGGTCGTTTCCTCAAAAATTTTAAATGACAAGGAGTATCTGGTAAACGTATTTCGAATTCCTTTATTTTAACGTTTGATTTTTTAAAATCAGTCGATTCATTTTCAAGAAAATTAGAAAAAGCTTTCTTTATCTCAATTTCTTCAGTTAGAAAACAAAAACACACGAAAATCTCACTTCTTTATTTCAATAAGTGTTCAAAATGTTGCCCGTTAGGCTTTGCCAAATCTACAATTCGTTTATAATTTAAAATGGAAACTATCAACTCAATATAAATAGCAATTCGGAAGATTTTACTTCCAAAATGGTTTACACACTAGCCGAAAGAGTGGAAATGATTCTAATTTATGGTGCCCAAAATCAATGTGCTCGGCAAGCTGCCGTCACGTTTAACGCCAAACATTCGGGGAAGATAACTTTGCATAGGTACGTTTTGAATCTTGTTACTAAAATTACTCAAACTGGATCTGTTGCAAATAAAAAACGTACTCATCGGAGAGTTTAGGATGAAGCCGCTCATGTTGAAGTTTTGGGTCATTTTGGAGTACGTTCTAATAGTTCATTACGCAAAATTGTTGCTGCGACTGGTATTTCATTAGGCTCTGTACACACAGTTACTAAACTCCATGAGTTTCATCCATTCGAAATAAAAATATTGCAAGAGTTAACCGAAGATGATTTCGATAGGCGAGTTGAGTTTTTTGAACAAATGACTGCAGCGATGAATGATATTATTTATGTAAAGAATATCTGCTTCAGTCATGAATGCACATTTTACCTAAATGGATTTGTTAATAAGCATAACTGCAGGTACTGGAGAAACGAAAATCCTGGTGCTTTTGTAGAAGGGCATACCCAGTACCCCCAAAAAAAGTAATATATGGGCAGGCATTTTAGGAAATAAAGTGATTGGGCCATTGCTTATTAATGGACATTTGAATGGAGATATATATTTGGATATGTTGGAACATACCATCAATCCGTTTATTAGTCTAATCATATTAGCAACTTTCCCCGAAATAATTGTAAAGTCTGATTTTATTGGTGAAAGTTATTCAAGGACGCATAAAATGGGTACATCAATATTTGTAGGAACACTTTTTATTTGATAACAAAGAATGAGAAAACGTGTTTTTTGGGATTCAATCGAAAGAGTTGACAGAAATGAAAAAACTTTTCATATAAGATTTTCAGGTATTTATGAGACCTACAAAATGAGGCCGCACGTGAAAAGATCCGAGTAACAGCAAAAATGTTATGGCCGAAAAACTAGGCAAAATGCAGGTTTTGGCACTTGTTGGTAATGCGACGATAATTTCACGCAACTATACTAACGAACACACCCAGTTTAAATGGTTTTATTTTAATAAAATTTTGTATAAGTACTTAATGAAGCATAATAAGTAAATGATAAAAATTTCAAAATGATTGCACTGCTTTAAAGCCCTTTGACCTTTAATAATGAGTGGATGCACCCTGATGTGCTACGCATTCTCCAACGCGCCTAGGCATGCTTCTGATCAGGTGGTCAATGTCCTCCTGTGGTATCTCATTCCAGGCAACTACCAACTCCTCTCGAAGTGCTTCTAGAGTCTGAGGAGGACGTTGCAAATTGAGCAATCTCCTACCCATCATATCCCACACGTGCTCAATTGGGGATAAGTCGGGAGATCTTGGTGGCCATGGTAACAATGTGACATCATTATGTTGAAAGAAGTCTATTGTGACTCTCGCAACATGTGGTCGGGCATTATCTTGTTGGAAAGTTGGATCTGCCAGAGTGTCAAGATAGGGTAAAAGATGGGGTTCTAGAACTTCGTGGATATAACGCTGCGCGTTCATGTTACCTTTGATGAAGATTAAAGGTGACCTGGAACCATAAGCTATAGCGCCATAACTCCAACAGTGTGATGAACATGTCTTTCAACAAAAACTGTGGATTCCTCCTTTCACCACGTCGCCTTCTAACCCTGGCACGACCATTGTGCATGCCTAAATAAAATCGAGACTTCTCACTAAAGACAATACTGTTCCATTCCTGATCCCAGAGTGACCGTTGTCTGCACCACTCAAGGCGATTACGTCGGTGTTCTCGACTTAAAGGGAGGACCCAGTGTGGCCGGTATGAAAACAAGCCAAAACTTCTCATTCGTCGGTAAACACTTCGCATGCCAATAGGTCTTCCGTGTTCTGCAAACCATTCATTTGCAATGGACCTGGTAGTGGAGAAACGGTCCCTTAAGGCCAATAATCTTAGGCGGCGATCTTCAGGGTCTGCTGTTCTACGGCGGCGTCCAGTGCCCCTTGCTCTTTGCGTACGGCCTTCTCGAAGCCATGTCTGACAACACCTAACCACAGTGTCTATACTTCTTTGCACTCTAACTGCAATTGCCCGAAAAGGAAGTCCAGCTTCACGAAGTCCCACTATACGGCCCCTATAAAACTCACTAAGTTGACGAAATCGTACAGGTCTCCGTACTCTAGGCATCGTAACCGATCGTAAAGGATGTCAAGAACCAAAATCCGCCAACGTTGATTCTTTACTGCGGCTGAAATATTCATTTTTAAATCGTTAGTGAATTAAAAAAAAGCAGTATAAAAACCGGAATGTCCAACTGATAAGGCTGACATTTTTTTCACTTGTTATTTACAGTAAGATGAATACATTTACCAACTTTTATTAAAATAAAACCATTTAAACTGGGTGTTCGGATTTATATGTCACTTATTATACTTGAAATTCTTCAAATCCGTAGGATTTCTACTTCTAAATAAGAACAAAATTGCAAAATTGGAGTATAGTGGACAAGTAGTTTTTTGAGAATTTCCAATTGTTTATCCCAAAAGACCTGTTTTCCGGCCATCACTAATAGTTTATTGAGCAATATACAGGGTTCGTTCAAAGAGCATTTAGTAGCAAAATACACGTGTTTACCTTGCCGATGTGAATTACAAGCCAGTATGAAAGATTAATGTTATTTTTATGCGAACAAAGAGTTTAGTTTTTTTTCAAACAAGTTCAAAAACTACGTATTTGTGAGTAAGTGAACAAATGCGCTACGATATTCGAAAAACATATGTTTTAAAGCAAAGCAGATGTGTCTATCATCTTTCATTGCGAATTACTTACTAATACGGATTGTTTGAATTTGTTTGAAAGAAAAAACGTAACTCATCCTTTTTTGCATAGAAATAAGCTTTATCTTCAGGAATGGTTTGCGATTCATATCGGCAAGGTGAACCAGTGTATTTTGCTATAAAATTCCATTTGGACTAACCCTGTATATTGCTCAATAAACTAGAAGTGTGGCCGGAAAACAGGTGTTTTGGGATAAACAATTAGAAATTCTCAAAAACTACTTGATCAATCTTCTCCAATTTTGTTGTAGGTATTTAGAAGTACGAATCCTCTAGGAATTTGGAGAATTTCAAATATCTGCGAGAAAGCATCATCAGTATTACCAATAAGTGCCTCGGTTTTCGGCCATAAGTTTTTGCTATTAGTCGGATCTTTCTATGTGTAGTCTCATTTTGTAGGTCGCATAAATACCTAAAAATCTTGTTTTTTCGTTTCTGCCAACACATTCGATTGAATCCCAAAAAACGCGTTTTCTCATTCCTTGTTGTCTAATAAAAAGTTTTCCCATAAAAATTGGTGTACCCATTTTATGTGTCCATGTTTTGAATTTGCAGCAATAAAACCAGATTTTACAATTATTTCGCAAACCGGGGATATTTTCATCTAATATGATTAGACTATATCCCTGAAACAATTGAAAACCAAATCGAAGAGGATGGAAACCCAATACTTGATGAGGCTGAAATATATTTTCTGCAAGACGGCGCTCCTCCTCACTATGTTCTTCCGGTTCGGCAATGGCTAGGCGACGAGTTTCCAGCTAAATGGACAGGGTGAAGAGGGCCTAGAGAATGGCCTGCTAGATCTCCTGATTTGGCGCTATTAGACTTTTTTATATGAGACAATTTGAAATCTATTGTGTTTATTCCCCAACCTGAAAGTTTGGATGAGCTTCGTCAACGCATCATAGAAAACTGCCATGATATCCCACAAAAATGTCCGTAAGGAATTTGAAAATCGTGTATATCATTGTTTGGCCAATAACGGGCAACATTTTGAACACTCATTGAAACAAAAAGTGATATTTTCGTGTGTTTTTGTTTTATATCTGAACAAAATAAGATAAATACGGATTTTTCTAATTTTTGACCGATTTAAAAAAATCGTAAGTCAAAATAAAGGACCTTCGAAAGACCTTTCGATCAAGGTATTACTCGATACCCCTTGTCAGTTAAATTTTTGAAGAGGGTGCTCGTGGGGGTCAGAGAGCAAAATGGGGTGAAGAAGTTTTTGGTTAAAAAGTTGTCCCCCTTGACAAATCTTTTGACGTGTCTCGGCGTTTTTTTCTTTTAATCAGAAGTTTTGGATAAATCCTTGGAGGGAAGTTTTCAAATGAACACCCTATACGCATAGACAGGAACACGTCTAACATACAATATTAAGCTAAAGACGAAAGAGAAGACAAACTAAAAGAACAACAAACAAACGGAATAGATAAAAAATTAAAACGTTCGTGTGAATACCAAGCTAATGAAACTCCTAACAGTTATAGAATTTCAGGTCCTGCAAAAAGACAAGGACCTCATCTACGCTATAGAAAGTGTTTGATAAGATCATCCTCTTAAGGTGTTTTTCAAAGAGCACAACGTTGTCTAAATTTTTTAATCGATTCTGGTAGATAGTTGCATATTCGTGTACCAGCGTATCTAGGCGACTTTTCGTGAGTAGTTAAGTTATCCTTATCTAAGCAAAATTGG